GAGGGAGAGGGAGAAGCAGGCTCCCCACTGAGCAAGGAGCTCGATATCGATAAAAATAAAATTACTGAATTTAGTATATGATAGAGGTGGTACTTAAAATCAGAAAAAAAGGCAAGTTATTGAGTAAACAATGTTGGCATAAATGACTAATCATTTGGACAAAAATTTTATTCAATCCCTACTTCATTTTTTATATAAAAATAAATATTAAAGGGGAGCCTGGGTGGCTCAGTCATTTAACGTCGGCCTTCGGCTCAGGTCATGATCCCAGAGTCCTGGGATTGAGCCCGACATCAGGCTCCCTCCTCTGCGGGAAGCCTGCTTCTCCCTCTCCCACTCCCCCTGCTTGTGTTCCCTCTCTGTGTCTCTCTCTGTCGAATAAATAAAATCTTTAAAAAATAAATAAATAAAAATAAAAATAAATAAAATTTTAGTAGAAAACGATAAAAGGCAGACGCTTAACCAACAGCCACCCAGACACCCAGAACCTTTGTTTTACAGTGATCTCAAGACTGTTTTCTATATCAATACATAGCTCTTTCTTATTTTTTCTAAAGACCTGATGTTATATTCTAATCTATGAATGTATCATGATTTATTTAATCCAGTCTCCTATTGACTGGCATTTGGAATATTTTCAATTTTTGTTTCACAAGTAACACATTGTACTTGTGTTATTTTATCTGTAGAATAAATTTTGAGAAGGGAAATTACTTTATAAAGGGATATGTGCATTTAAATTTTGATAGGCATTGTTTTTTTTTTTAAAGATTTTATTTATTTATTTGAGAGAGAGAGAATGAGAGATAGAGAGCATGAGAGGGAAGAGGGTCAGAGGGAGAAGCAGACTCCCTGCTGAGCAGGGAGCCCCATGTGGGACTCGATCCCGAGACTGCAGGATCATGACCTGAGCCAAAGGCAGTCGCTTAACCAACTGAGCCACCCAGGCGCCCTTGATAGGCATTGTTAAGCTGATCTTCATAATGCTTTTAATGACTTTTTCCCTTAGATACCATACCAATACTGGGTCTTACCAAATTTTTAATATTTAGCAATTAATTATGAGTAAGGTTGATCAGCTTTCCAATGTTTGTGTGAGGTGAACGTGATAACCACTACACTACGGAAACGGGACTGCTTTCCAATGTTTATTGACCATTTGTGTTTCTTTCATTTTCAGTCTGAGTTGCTTTTTTTTTTAAATACTCATTTTTGCTTTAAAAAATCTATAAAAAATTATTTTTATGAATTTGGGAATTAGGACATTGCTTTTTTTCTGTCAGATATTGCTAACAGTTTATCAGTTTTAGATTGGTCTTTTAACCTTGTAATATATATTTTTTAAAGATTTTATTTATTTATTCATGAAAGACAGAGAGAGAGAGAGAGAGAGAGGCAGAGGGAGAAGCAGGGGAGCCCAATGTGGGACTCGATCCCAGGACCCTGGGATCATGACCTGAGCTGAAGGCAGATGCTTAACCATCTGAGCCACCCAGGCGCCCTAACCTTGTAATATTTTTTAAGAAGAGTCATCCAAAATTCTCCCATACACCCACACACCCAACCACCATACCCCCACACCCACAGAAGTTTTACATAGCTAATGAGTTAGTCTTTTTGTTGTGCCTTCAAAATTTTGTGTTGTTTTTAGAAATGCCTTCTTCGTTCTAAGATAGAAACATTTTATCATGTTTTCTACTAAAATTTTATTTTTATTTTTATTTATTTATTTTTTAAAGATTTTATTTATTTGACAGAGAGAGACACAGAGAGGGAACACAAGCAGGGGGAATGGGAGAGGGAGAAGCAGGCTTCCTGTGGAGGAGGGAGCCCGATGTGGGGCTCAATCCCAGGACTCTGGGATCATGACCTGAGCCGAAGGCCGACGCTTAATGACTGAGCCACCAAGGCTCCCCTTTAATATTTATTTTTATATAAAGAATGAAGTAGGGATTGAATAAAATTTTTGTCCAAATGACTAGTCATTTATGCCAACATTGTTTACTCAATAACTTGCCTTTTTTTCTGATTTTAAGTACCACCTCTATCATATACTAAATTCGGTAATTTTATTTTTATTTTTAAATTTTATTTAAATTTAATTAACATATATTAGTTTCAGAGGTAGAGTTCAGTGATTTATCAGTTGTTTATAATACCCAGTGCTCATTACATCACGTGCCCTCCATAATGCCCGTCACCCATTTACCCCCCACCCCCCTCAGTAACTTTATTTAAGAGAGAAAGTAAAGATGTATACAGTGATATTTAGCAACAGAAATGTTCATTGCAGTTTTGTTTATCATACCAAAAGGTCATTTAAATATGTAGCTATAAAGGAGTGGTAAAAAAAAATTCCATGTATCAGGATATCTAAAAACCCTTGAGAGCTACATGTGTGGTGTAGTCGGGGAGAGTGGTAGAGACAGATATGTTGAGCATGTAGGCCCCAAAAGGAAACAAAAACCTTTGGATAGTTGCTGTAGACACTATGGCTATAGATAATCATCTACCTTCCTGGTTATTGAGATGACAGGCTTGTTCTTAGATGACAGGTCTTAGAGACTTTCCAGATACAGCTTCAGACTCTGAAACCAATGACTCTTCAGCCTTACCTTTCTACCTAGATATATAGTCCTCATTTATGGTTTTGCCTTATCCAGTGTTTATTTAGCTTTTCTTGACTACTTGATGGCTGATCCAAGTTCAGTAAGTAGTAAAAATAACCAGGAATAATATTCAAAATATTTAGCAATACAACTGTAGAGGTACTAATAAATAGGACAGGTTCTGAAAGTCTCCAGTTAACTCATTAGTGATTGATGCATGAGTAGTATGTGGTGGTAGTGGTGGTGGGAGTTTTGGTAGGGGGAGAGGGCTACCAGGGTCTTGGGAGGGATGCTAGGGAGTTGGAACAACAGCTCTTTGCCAACTGGTATAGAAATATTTCAGTATGTTATACTGGCATGATAGTACTGGTGAGTAACATTAGCTAACAAGTATTGATTACTTACTATGTACCGTAGATAGACCTGAGCACTTGACATTATCTTCAGGCACTTGACACATAGTCCATAGAAAAATACTATGTGGAAAATGCTATGATTATCTTCATTTTATGGAAGAGAAATTTTAATAAGTTTCTAAATTATAATAATTTTTTTTTAAAGATTTTATTTTTTGACAGAGAGAGAGACAGCGAGAGAGGGAACACGAGCAGGGGGAGTGGGAGAGGGAGAAGCAGGCTTCCCGCGGAGCAGGGAGCCCGATGTGGGGCTCGATCCCAGGACCCTGCGATCATGACCTGAGCCGAAGGCAGACGCTTAACAACTGAGCCACCCAGGCACCCCCCCAACAGAGCTTATTTTAAAGCTTTTTTGAACTTCAGCATTTTCCCTCATCCTACAACTACAGTCCAGTACATGTGGAACCTTAGTCAACTAGAAAAAGGAAAACCTAGGGACTAAGAATCAAGGTTTGTATTTAAGAAAGGTCTTTCCTTCTGTATGTTTGACATCAGTCTTGGTTTGCCAGTTCTTAATGGAACTCAGAGTGATGGGATAAAGAGAAAAAAGAGGGAAGAGTTAGGAACTATAAGTGATAAGCTGAGTTCTGCTTGCTGCCTTCTGTGGACTACTCCAGTTTGGTGTTTTGGCTCAAGGCTGGGAGGTCAAATGTACGGAACACTTCCTGGATCCTGGCTGGCTTCCATTACATTACATTGACCATGGGCAGATCATTTAAACCTTCCGTAATTCACTCTCCATTTGTTAAAATGGAGCTTGTGTTTGCCCAACTTCCTCTCTTTCTGAGTTGTGCTGAAGGTCAAAGAATTGCTATGAAAATATTCTGAAAGATCTGAGGTCCTCCTGGGGTGCCCCTCGGAAGACCACTTTTTGAATCTATGTGGTTTGATCATTTAGGAGGGTGACTCCGTGCCAGGTCTGTTTAAGAGTGGCTGCTCTATGCTTGGCTAAAGCTTCTACTTATAATTCTACATCAGTAGAGGTGACTCCTGGGACAAATATGGCTAAGGGATAAAATCACCAAGAAGCCCTCTTTGCCTGATGTCTAGCTTTAACAATATCGTAATTAGGAGGAACTGCTGGCAAGTAGATGACTCATCCCAGGAGATATGGGCATCGCTGAGTGCATTGTCCAATCCAGTCGTAATGAAGGTGGGGCCATCGACTGTTTCCATAAATCCATAGCTAACCCCATGGAGTGGGGTATGCTATGGCTTTTATTTTATTTTTATTTTTTTACAGATTTATTTATTTATTTGTGAGAGAGCACAAGTGGCAAAAGGAGAGGGGGAGAGAATCCCAAGCAGACTCCATGCTGAGCACAGAGCCTGACACAGGGCTCGATCTCATAACTCTGAGATCATAACTTGAGCCGAAACCAGAGTCAGACTCTTAACCTACGGTGCCACCCAGGTGCCCCTGCTCTGGCTTTTAAGGAGCAGTTTTGCCATCCCAGCCATAGAATCGGTCAAGGTGATAGTTGAGTTACACAGTTGTTGGGGAGTCCATTCCATTGTCCAGCTGTCCAAATAATCTTATGCCCATGGGGTCCTTTTTTATTCTCACAGAGTAACAGGCACGAAGATTGTCTATGTATACATGGGCTCTTGTGGCAATTTCTCTGAAGTTTACCTCAAAATATCTAGCTTAGGCAAACAATCAACATTCAAGGACAATTAATCAGAACTGGAGTCTAACATCCTCAAAGGTGTGTTATTGAAACATAATTTTTCTCCTTGAAATCATCCTCACTGGGGGCGCCTGGGTGGCTCAAGTCGTTAAGCATCTGCCTTCGACTCAGGTCATGATCCCAGGGTCCTGGAATCGAGCCCCGCGTCGGGCTCCCTGCTCAGAGGGAAGCCTGCTTCCCCCCTCTCCCACTCCCTCTGCTTGTGTTCCCTCTCTCCCTGTGTCTCTCTCTGTCAAATAAATAAATAAAATCTGTAAAAAAATAAAATAAAATAAAATCACCCTAAGTGGGGCGCCTGGGTGGCTCAGTCATTAAGCTTCTGCCTTTGGCTCAGGTCATGATCCCAGGGTCCTGGGATCGAGCCCCGCATCGGGCTCCCTGCTCAGAGGGAAGCCTGCTTCCCCCTCTCCCACTCCCTCTGCTTGTGTTCCCTATCTCGCTGTGTCTCTCTCTGTCAAATAAATAAAATCTGTAAAAAAATAAAATAAAATCACCCTCATTGGGTGCCTCTGGGTGGCTCAGTCATCAAGCTTCCGCCTTCCGCTCAGGTCATGGTCCCAGGGTCCTGAGATCCAGTCCCGCATCGGGCTCCCTGCTCCACGGGAAGCCTGCTTCTCTCTCTCCCACTCCCCCTGCTTGTGTTCTGTCTCTCGCTGTCAAATAAATAAATAAAATCTTAAAAAAAAAAATCACCCTCAATTCCATCAAAGATAGCCAAATGAAGACCAATTTGTAAAGCAAGTCCAGTTTTAACAAACTTGGCGTAATTATTTACATAAGTACAGCAAGAACAGTGATTGTGAGTGAATTAGTTCTTTTAAATCTGCTTTGCTGGAACTTTGGATAAGGAATTTTATTATATATATATTAAAATTTATTTATTTACTTATTTATATAATCTCTACACCCAATGTGGGGCTCAAACTCACAACCCTGACATCAAGAGTTGCATGCTGTTCCAACTGAGTCAGCCAGTCGCCCCTATAAGGAATTTTTTTTCGTACAAGGAATTTTAGACAAAACTTTTAATACCCTTGCAAGGCCAGAGGCCAAGCCAAATTCTTGCCATCAGATTTGCCTAAAATACCTGCAAATTTAAGTAAATTCCTCTTCTCAAAGTCTCCCAAATATCCTGAGGTTTCTGCATCTTCCAGGAAATGACATTCTTTACTCACCTGGTAAGATTGCTGGGAACTCTGTTAGCAAGATGTCAGGCCAGCATTTCCAAGGGGTTCTATTGGCTCCATAAAGTCAACCTTAGGGCTTTAAAGCTGTCTGGTCATATCTGAGTCTATGCATGTCTTTCTCTAATGACCTTCCACTCAAAGTCTTGGCAAAGTAACCAATGTTTCCAATGGTGTCCTGTTAGAAGGGGAACAGATTCTTATTGAACTTATGCAAATAATTAAAATTGCCATGAAAGAAAGAATACTCACTGAAAGTTTCTGAATTTTGGAGGGTTCAGGTAGGCAGTAAAGATAAATGTTTCAATTTGTTCACAAAGGAATATTTTATCATATTTCTGTAAGTCATAGATATCTTGAGAAAAAGTTTCCTTAAATCTGGAAGAGCAAACATTAGAACCAGCAATGTTTCAAAGAAGAGTAATAAAAGCTATTAATCATCTTTCTCAAATCATTTAGGCCCACATTACTAATTCTTGTTCTGATTGAATGCAGCTTTTCCATTAGTTCCAGAAATACTTTTTTAAAAAATTTATTTAACATATAATGTATTATTTGTTTCAGGGGTACAGGTCTGTAATTCATCAGTCTTACAAAATTCACAGCACTCACCGTAGCATATACCCTCCCCAATGTCCATCACCCAGCCACCCCATCATTCCCACCCCCCAGTTCCGGAAATTCTTATCCAGTTTAGTTTTATGATTTTAAAGATGTCAGAAACCTGTATTTGTCAAAAAGTCCTTTTCATGAATCTCCTTGAAGATGGAACACATTTTCAAGAGCATCAGAACAATAATTATAAATAAAAAAGACTAGGGGTGCCTGGTCGGTTAAGCATCTGCCTTCAGCTCAGGTCATGATCCAGGGGTCCTGGGATTGAACCCCACTTTGGGCTCCCTTCTCAGCAGGGAGTCTGCTTCTCCCTCTCCCTCTGCTCCATACCCTGCTTGTACTCTCTCTCTTTCTCTCAAATAAATAAATAAATAAAATCTTTTTTTTTTAAAGAGAGATTTTTTTAAAAAAGATCTTATTTATTTGAGAGAGAGAGAGAATGAGAGAGAGCATGAGGGGGGGAGGGTCAGAGGGAGAACCAGACTCCCCACCGAGCAGGGAGCCCAATGTGGGACTCAATCCCGGGACTCCAGGATCATGACCTGAGCCGAAGGCAGTTGCTTAACCAACTGAGCCACCCAGGCACCCAAATAAATAAAATCTTAAAATAAATAACAAAAGACTAAAAGATGGCCATGGTTAAAGACTGGATGACAGTTCATTATAGTGCAGTTGACAAGGAAATGCAGTTATTTCTGTGACACACAACGTTTAAGTAACTAGAATGTCAAGTGATGACTTTATACCAGGACATGTTAAAACTTTAGGGATTTCAGGGATGCCTGGGTGGCTCAGTTGGTTAAGCGTCTGCCTTCGCTCAGGTCATGATCCCAGGGTCCTGGGATAGAGCCCTGTGTCCAGCTCCCTGCTCAATGGGGAGCCTGCTTCTCCCTCTGCCTGCCACTCTCCCTGCTTGTGTGCTCTCTCTGTCAAATCAGTAAATAAATCGTTTAAAAAAAATCTTTAAAAACAAACAAACAAACAAAAACTTCAGGGATTTCATGTAATTTCTAGAACAGTTATAGCGTTTACTCATACAATATAACCTAAGAAGGTTATCACCATTTGTTTGACAGTGCTTCCCATGTAACCTAACATGCCAAGTAAACAAGCCTAATTAGTCAAAACAACTTCATTTAGAATTTGAATCTTGGGAAGTTTGTTAAAAACCTCAGAAGGTTGTTTGTTTGGGTTTTTAAATATATTTATTATTTATTTTAGAGACAGAGTGTGTGTGAGTTTGAGTGGGAGGGGCAGAGGGAGTGGGAGAGAGAATCCCAAGCAGGTTCTGTGTTGAGTGCAAAGTCCAAGATGGGGCTCAGTCTCATGACCCTGAGATCATGACCTAAGCAAAAAAGAAAAGTCGGACCCTTACTGACACCCAGGCATCCCCCGCTTTGTTTTTAATTTAAGTAATCTCTACGTTCAGTGTGAGGCTTAAACTCCCAACCCTGGGATCAAGAGTCAAACACTCCTCTGACTGAACAGCCAGACACCCCAAAAACCTCAGAAGGTTTTAAAGCAGTTGCCTTAACAAGATTACAAATTGTTATAAAACTAAGTATTTAATTACCTGTTTAACCAAGATGGCAATAAAAGATTCTATAGAAGGTTGTATAGTTATTAGTGAAACTAAGCTCCTTTAATATTGAGAAGTTTTAATTTTCCTAAGTAATCAAAGACCTGATAATGACAAAATATAGAAACTGGTTTTTTGGGGCACTGGGTGGTTCAGTAAGTTGGGCGTCTGCCTTCAGCTCAGGTCATGATCCCAGGGTCCTGGGATTGATCCTGTCTGTCGGGCTCCCTCCTCAGTGGGGAGTCTGCTTCTCTCTCTCCCTCTGCCCCTTCTCCCTGCTGTGTGCTCTCTCTCTCTCTCAAATGAATCAATAAAATCTTAGAAAGAAACTGGTTTTTCTGGGCAGATAAAAGGAAAAAACCTTTTTACAATTTCTTATCAAGACCAGACCAACAGTCCAAGAAAACTCTTTTTAACAGAGAGAAAAGCCGAATCTCAGTCTTACACCAATGTACTTTTATTTTATTTTTTTAAAGTAAGCTCTATTCCCAATATGGGGCTTGAACTCAGAACCCTGAGATCAAGAGTCGCATGCTTTACTGACTGAGCTAGCCAGGTGCCGCTACCAATGCACTTTTAAAACTCATTCATTCCATGGGGTGCCTGGGTTGCTCAGTTGGTTAAGCTTCTGACTCTTGATTTCAGCGCAGGTGGTAATCTCAGGGTTGTGAATCTAGCCCTGCATCTGGCTCTGTGTTGGGCATGGAGCCAGCTTGAGATTCTCTCTCTCCCTTTCCCCTTGACTCCTCCCCATTCCCCACCAGAAAAACAAAGAAATTCATTCATTCCAATCTTAGTCAGTCCTGAACATGCATAAAATTCTTTTCCAAAGATTCCCCTTCACAAACTTACAACTTTCTTTTTACATTCAAATTTAGTCATAAGCTTTCTTTCTCTAAATAAGAGAAATCTATTGTCTCTTGTAGGACAGTCTCATTGTAGGACAAAATTACGTTCTTTTCCCTCAACAAAAGTATATTCCTATACCTTGTACCATTTTATTTATTCATCCTACTTGCTCTTAACAATTACCCATGAAAATTTTGAGATAGACAAAATCGACCATTTTCAATCATCTTTTTGCTGACAAACTGCAACAGAGATAACATGAATTTATTTGACCTTTTAGTAAACCTTGGTAGAATCAAAGCTTATATTTAATACTGGTATCTCTAAAGACATGTCTATTTCAATTAATTTGTTCCCCACTGTCAGTTTTACCTGGGGCTCCTGTGGGGAAATCTGAGGTGGGTGGTTTAAGTCCAGGGGAACCTCTGGGCCCCTTCATGTTGACTTGGGAGGTGCTTCAGTTTGAACCTCATAAGGAGGTAGCTGAACAGCTTGGGATACCTTTTGCTTCTTGATAGCAAGGGTAGGAGGAGCAGAAGCCCATGGTGCTGGAGGTGCTGGGGGTGGAACAGGAGCTGGTTAGCCAGTGGTATGCAGGAGCTGGAGGAGAGGGGGCAGAGGCAGAGGTGCAAGGGAGCCACTGCCAAGGCCAGAGAGACTGAAAGTTTGGACTAACATTCCTTTATGCCTGTCTCCTGTCTTTCCATCTTGTAAACGAGGCTTTTTTCTCTGGTTGTTTTTCAGCCCTCTGCACCATTTATTCAAAATCTGTCCTAATGGACTTTCTTTGGGAACAGAAGGGGTATTCCCTATCTTCCTAGGCAAAAGTTCAGAAAGAACACAGAAGAAACAAAATGATAACTAAATGAAACCAAGAGTACCTCTGTTAGTACTCATTCTTCCCCAAAAGTCAGGGGTTTCACTGAACCAAATGGCTTCTTAGTTTTTGGTTCTCCCCAAAAGTCAGAGCTTCACCTGAACCAGTTGGCTTCCCAGACAAGCTAAGAGAGCCAAACCAAAACCTCCTATTTGGAGGCAGCCGATTGGGAGGAAGGAATTCAAGAGAGCCATTCAGTGGCCATCTTTCCTCAGAGCTTAACATATACATAGGCCAGGTGGTGTTACCGTAAGTATCATTTTCTTCTCACTTATAGGTGTGTAACTAAAAGTAGACCAGTCAGCCAATATTCTCCCTAGGGGGCCTTTGAAAGGGTTTAGAAATAGTACTTCCCATCTTGTACATACACTCACATACACACAAATTCCAACAGAGATCCTGCCAAATATGTATTCTAGCTTCCTGTTTACCTCTCATCGTTCCTCTTTCCGTCAGTACCTTCACAAATTTCAGTGGCCCCTGCCACAACTCCAGGCTATGCAAGCCTGAAAAATAGGCTATGAAAACTGACAAATGGTTCAAAAGAACCCAACAGCAGGGAACTAAAGAAATACACGGTCCATATGCATTTATCAGGGGGTACTTACCAGGACCCAAATTTCTAGGGCTTGTTACTTCTGATGTGTTTCTCTGTTTCATCAAAAGCAGTTAAGGCTGTTGGTGCCAGTTCTGGGCAAGCGAGAAAGAAAGTCCTCGAAATGAAACAGGTTTCAGCAGCTCCCTGTCTAGAGTCAACTAGCCACAGGTAGCTGACTCCTACCTATCACAGCCACTAGCTTGGGAAACAAACAGGGAGCTGTGGGGTGCTGCCATGGCTAACTGCTCTACACTGGGG